ATGATGATGATGATGATGATGATGATGATGATGATGATGATGATGATGATGATGTTGATTCCCTTGCTAATAAATTTGTTCGTTGGACACTCAGCGCGCCTCCGGTTCCCACATGTGTGTCGGAAGACAGTGACAGATGGGATGGGCTTACCTAAAAATGTAGCATTCGTAAGTTGGACACTTATTTTACTTCATTGATAATTCTGGAACGGGGATAATAGGTTTACAAACAAAGGTGAAACTGTTTGAATGCGATGAAAATGTTTGTGATGACCGACAAATAGCACTGAAAGGCTGTTTCGGACTGTTTGGGACTCTTCAGGACTCGAACCGAGAACCCTGGGGTTGGGACTTCACACACTTACCCGTGAGCTACATGGTCGCCGGTTATCACCCTGTGGGAATGGCTTAATCAATTTGAAAGTAGTAAGCTTGCATTAGCCCATTCGATTTTTCACAGGTACCAAGCACTGTTGATGGAGTTTGGAGTGGGTTTCGCTCCGTGGGAGATTGACTCCTAACCCGAAAGTTCGCGGTTCCAGTCCTGACAAGGATAAGAAATAAACGCACTGCCAACAAGTTTCAAACACAACAAAACAGCAGTTTGGTGCTTTTTGTCGGTCATCACAGATACTTCCATGGAGTGAAACCTGGATTCAAGTTAATCGCCAGTGCATGGTGCTTGCGCTAAATTGAATGGATTAAACCAAGTGTGATTTTCGGAATTACTGAGTTCAATCCAGAATGCAATCATGCTTCTTGGTTCCGCAGTTGATCTTTCTTCAAATCATTCATTTGATTTGGGTGATAAGTATATCCATCAGTTCATCGAGGAGTATAATTTCAGGCGAACTATTATTTTCGTTTACCCATAATCATGCCAAAACAGTACATGTAGATAGATAAAACTGATCACGCTCCCGGATATCACCGATTGGAATCNATTGGAATCCCTGCTTTTGTACACTCCTACTCTCACACCGAACTCTCGGAAGTGAGTCACACGGGCAACACAAAATAATTGCAGTCTCCGACAGCATATAGCTGATCTCGTGACATGCACATATGTGCACACACACATAGTGATTCGTTTCACACAATCCGATGTTGACTTCCTAACCCGTGCGACCTTATTTTGACACAAACAGTAAGGGCATATTGCTGCATTAATAACTTGAATTACCTGTTCTAATCGCATGCGTGAGCATATTCTAAATGCAATCAAGTTGACCAACAGACCACCATCACCATACTGTAACACATTTTGGAAAGGGCTGAATAGAAATGATTTTTATGAAGACATTGTTCCATGGAACACAATGAGAAAATTTTCGAAGTTTGATTTCCTCGAAACTAACTGCCATTGCGGGCAGAGAAACTTTTAACGCTACGGACAACAGACAAATTTAACTGTGTATACGAGCTAATGGATGTAAAAGCGCGAATGTGTGTGCTTATTAACTGAAGTTGCAATAAAATCATTCCTGTGTTCTTTTCTTTAAAACTTCTACATAATGTGGAGCTTATTTTCACTGAGCAAATCAAAATAAAACTCACAAATGTGTGTATCCTACGCACGAAAATATTCTGATAGTTTTGCTCGTTACTTACCCAAAGGATGTACCTTTCCCATCACTGCCGACTGGAATCGAGTAGGCCACTCGGTTCTCTTTCGTCTATAGCGCACCACTGTATATGGTCTGAGGACTGACTGACTTACTGACTGATCGGCTTTTCTGGTGGGCGAAGAACCAAAGCCAAATGTACTTTTGTGCATGCATGACGCATTTAGCAACAGACGAGGTCACTGATTGGCTGAAACGGAATGTTTAACCTACTGGCCTATAAACTGTGAGTCTTACTCACCGTGGTCCACAACCCAGGCAGATGTTGAGTAGCCTCGCAACAACTGGCAAGGGACATCATAAAACATTCCACCTAATCTCGTACCCAGGACCAAACAGAATATGGAAGCAATCACGTGCCGGTCTGAGAGACCGCACAATGTCACCATAGCAATGAAATATTTCACGCACAATTGAGCAGAATCCACGAAGACTTAGGCGTCGTCCACTGTCCCGGTTTGCAATAGTTGAATGCAGTTACAGGTGTTCGGATGATGATGTTGTTGTTGTTCTTGTTGTTGGAGGTAATGAGGCCTGCTGAGTGAACTTGAGTCAGTAAACTTGATCCTAACCAACTGTAGTTCTCGATGGATTGGTTATCCGAATATAAACAGAATTGATCTGATGCAAGAGCACATTAAACACGGAAACAACTGGCAAGTAAGGCATTGAAAGATCCTCGTACATTGACCTAGTCTCAGAACAGCTTCGGTTAGGATTTAAAATAAATGAAGTCAACACGTTCAATTAAGCATTCCATATTTCTCTTTTTTACTTGTGACTACATAATTACCTGATTTAAATTCCATAGCATTTTAAAACATCTCAATGGGATAGTGTGTGTGTGTGTGTGTGTGTGTGTGTGTGTGTGTGCGTGTGGAACGTTTGGTGATGCAGTAATGCAACAACCCTCATCAATCTTTTATTGTGTCCAGTTTCTGTTCGCAATATAATTGACAGAGAGTTTTGCTCCATCTTTTATAAAAAAATGATTCAAATACATAGTCAGTAGTAGACCGAAGAATCTAACCAATTAAACACGAACAGTTCTGAAAACTGAACCGTGGAAATCGTAGGAAATATTATCAAATAAAGTTTTTCGGTGTGACGATGTTCATCGACTGAGTTAGTCAGTCTGATTACCTTTTCAGTTTAAAAGCGTATAGAAGGACTGTGTTTTACCCTTCATGCCACTGTTACATTCATTAGGTGGTTGGCTTGCGAATTAGCAAACAATTTTCAAATGCTTTCAATCTTTTACTCGCTCATGGCCATCAATATTGCGACATGGAGGAATAGAGCTCGAACCCCGCTACTGCTGCCCGTCTGTATTTCCTCAGGCGGTCGTTGTAACACCATGGCGGCCTTCCTAAAACCTGACTGTGTATTTGTATAATCAGTGTAAAATGAAGTATAAACATTTATTCATTATTATTTTTACCTTCCTTTATTCACTCTCTGGAAAAGCGTAGCATCATAAAACAGACCAATGAGACGGGTACTGAAATGGGTAACAATTTGTCCCACTAATTGAAAATCCGTTGCATAATTTTGCTTTCAATCGTATTTTTTTGCTTTTCCCAATATTACGGGAAATAAAAGTGATCGGGGGTTATCTGAATCAGAAATCACATGGCATCGTCTTGTCAATCTGATGTAGTGTGTGCTCCTACAGTTAAACTATTTAAATCGCAACTTGATAAACCATTGGAACACTTAAAATTTCAACGTCCGTGAGTGATCATGCACATTATTATCATTGTTATTTTCTCTTTATGAAGTTATTCAAAATATTCTGTATAACTTCTACGGGGCATGATAAGCTTTAGCTTTGTTAAAACGCCCATAATAAAACTTTGACTTTGTATTTTAACTGTGGTTCCCATGCCATCGGTAACTATCTTCAAAAACACAAATCATTTACGCGCTTTCACAGGCAACCCGTCGAGTGCAGCTCTGTTGACAGAAATAAGACTCTGCCAAAAAGATTATTCCACTACAAATGTTAGATGTTCAAATCCGTCAAAAATATTTTCGCATAATAGTTCCCAATTTCAGTAAATTTCTTTTGCGTTATACTCAAATTGAAATTGAAATATTTATTATGGGAAAAAATTTACAAAGATTTCGCTTATCAAATCCCATAGGGTGTTTACACGTTGGTTCGGAACACGATTCACAAAATCACAGTTAGTCCATGAAAGCAAAATAGTAATTTAATGTTTTTGACGAGCACAGGAGGATATGTTATGTAGTTGGGTGTTGAAACATAATGTTTGCCAGAGCATCATCAAGCTGAAGCTTGAAACATACTAATGTTGGCGCACAGACCACGTGAGGTGGTAGAGNGCTGCACACTCTGACAGAAAATGAATGGCGTCTGCTTTCGAGACGGCTCTTTTGGAGTGCTAACTTCAGTGGATGCCCTCTGAGATGAACATCGGTTGATATACTCAAAAGAAATCTACATGGATGGTTGGGTTGTTGGAAAATCCGATAGAGTAAAATCATA